CACACACACACACACGCGCATAAACATTTACATTCCATCCACATTGGGGGAAAAATAGCACACACTTTAGAAGAACATCTTATATTTTGAAAAGTGTACATTATACATTTGAAAAACAAACAAGCAAACACATAACTTACTTACACTTTGCGGACAAAAATACTGGGCCACCTACACATTAAACCTACAGGAGCTGCTCGGCCACCACGAAGCTCCTGGCACACAGTTTTTGAGCTGATGTTAATGCCAGAGTAGGTTTAATACTCTGCAATTACTGAGTCAGCAGAGCTGACATTTCATGCTTGAGTTCCTGTGCTGCCTAGAGACTTACAGTTTGAATTAATGCCACTTACAGCTGGTGTAAGACGATTGGCTTCTCTAGCTTTAATTCTTTCTTATCTTTTTTACACCATTAACTGACATTTTACTCAAGGTAATCCCCATCTGTTTGTATAATAAATTAAAATAGTGATTTGGACATAATAAGCAGCAGAATTAAAAATATGCTTTTTCAGAATTTTTGTCTAATCACACTTTTTTGTGTAGTGAGTGCATAAAAGTCAAGCGTGGAACTGACTACCTATTTTCACTGCTAGTTGTTTAAAACCCTACAACCAGATATTGAGATACGCCAACTTAATAAGAGGTGACGCGTTTTTGTCTTTCCTGCACAGAGCTCATCATCACTGCGGGTGGCGAGAACATCCCTCCTGTCCCCATTGAAGATGCAGTGAAGTCTGAACTGCCCATCATCAGCAACGCCATGCTAATTGGAGACAAGCTCAAGTTCCTCTCCATGCTGCTCACACTTAAAGTAAATGATCCTCTCTTTTTGCATACAGGCATTGTTGCTGAATAAGCAAAAAAAAGAAAAAAAGACTTACCACTTCTGTTTCTTTTTCTGCAGTGTGTCGTGGATGACAATGGCGAGCCCACAGATGAGCTGAATCAAGAGGCTTTGGAATTTTGCCAGCAACACGGCCTAAAAGCAACCAAGGTGTCCGAGATTATAGCCAATAAGGAGCCAGCTATTTACAGTGCCATTCAGGCTGGCATTGAGCGTGTTAATGCCCGATCAACATCCAATGCCCAGAAAGTCCAGAAGTGGGTTATAGTGGAACAAGACTTCTCCGTCACCGGAGGAGAACTAGGTCAGCTGTCTGAAATTAATTTTCCTTTTCCTACAAGTATAGTACATGTAGTACTGCCATTTAAAATTAGGAAGTATTTGCTTCTGCTTTTTTTTTTTTTAACTTACTGTTAATCATTTTTAACCAAGGTCAATGTTTTGTAACTGGAGTGACTGCCAAACAGCGTTTCCGTGGAGTCTTTTCAGCAGTGATTTAATCTCTTTAAGCTCAGAGGAATGCTAAACTTTATCATGAGATCAAAATAACCTCCTTTTCTTTGTTGTCCTTCTAGGACCCACCATGAAACTGAGGAGGCCCATTGTTGTGAAAATGTACCAGGAGAAAATAAATGAAATGTATGCAGTGGCTGCAGGAAAACAATAGAGTGCATTGCACGGGGGTGAGAGGAGCTCATGGGATGTATGGACATACATACTTTTTGTAAATAAAAGACATAAGTCAGAGTCAAAATTTTGCCAAACATATCACTCGAACATGCCACATATTGACTGTATGATGACACAGATACTGCTTGGTGTCTGTCAGTTTCTGAAGGAAATATCATGAATCCCACTGTAGCTCAAAATATATGTAAGATATGTCCTGTTTCCAGCACCTTGCTCAGAGAGAAAA